CGGGAGTCGGGAACGCCCGACAACAGCCAGCTTCAACGTTTGCGCCTTAACGCATTGGATCCAAGTTTTACATTGCCCTCCTTTTCGTCGCTTCCAAGCCACGCCTTTGCTCGCAAATAGAGTTCGTCGTTGTAGCCGCTGGGTAGGCATGCAAAGCACGTGGCCAAGCCAGCGAAGCCTCCGCAGTGAGATGATGCTATCAATCGATCGGCAGAGTTGGTTAGATCTGAAGACTCGCCGACGGATTTCCTGATTACTGATGTGATGCTGCCATCGAACACCAGCAATGCTTCGCAGACAGCGCTGATCGATGACAGATAGCTGCTGAACATCGCTTTTGTGAACGGGCCAATTCTCACAGCCGTACAGCGGAATCACTCGTACCGTAGCATTATAAATTCGTCTCTTGAGAGCGAGACAGATCACGACGAAGCCACAGGTGACGAAGGTTAGCGAAAGCGACTCGAGCCTTGGAGGAACGCAGGGAGATCTCATCTGTCAAACCGCCAATACTAAGACAACTCCCAAGATAAATGAATTTGTCGACCAATTCCAACGAATGCCCCGAAAGGGTGAGAGAAGGACATGCGCTTGGCCAGTCCTGTAATATGAGTCTACATTTGGAGGGAACAAAGCTCAACCCAAATTGGGTGGCGGACATCTCCAGTCTGAGCGGCACATGTTAGGCGGCTTGGGAGGACTCGCAAATCACAGCGATGTCATCGGCGTACTCTAAGTCCCGAAGGCGGTCACCAGGGAGCCGTACAACACCACAGGACTCAGAGTTATCCGGGGCAGTATCCAGGATTTCATCCATAACGAAGTTGAACAAAAATGAAGAGGCTGGGTAACCCTGCCTAACACCACTAGTGACACTGAAAGGAAGTGAAATTTCTCCGTATGCTCGCACGCGGCCCGAAGTTTGATGGTAAATAGCACGGAGAATCCTGATGTACTTCTCAGGTACTCCCCCTACAGTAAGCAGTCCCAAAGAGCCACTCTGTCATCAAAGTCAAAAGCGGCTCGAATATCCTAGAATATGACTATAGTTGATCAACTGAACGTATGGCGATGTTCAAGTATCTGGCGGATCGTAAAGATGTGATCGACGCAACCGCGATCCGGGCGAAACCCAACTTGTTGTTCATGTAATTGCTGTTTCCGTACGCAACTGAGCCTCCGCAAGAGTAGGGCAACGAGCAGTTTGGATGCGACACAAATGAGACTGATGCCATGATGGCTGGAGTACATGGTCCGGTCTCTTTTTTGTAAACAGGTAAACATCCACTAAATTCGTCGGATGGAATGGTTTCAGTAGTCCAGCACTAATGGAATAAAGATGTCAGTTCGCGAGTGAGAGAACAACCTCCATATTTGAAGAGAGCAAGCGGAAGTTCATCTGGGTCAGGTAACTTGTGGCGCTTCAGTAAGCGAACCTCATTGGAAACCTCAGCTTGTCGGAGGAGAAACATCCACGCACCAGGGAGCACTGTGAACCCCGAAAGATAGACTCTGTTGCGCTACTGGCCAGTTACATTGATCTTCAAAGTGCTGTGCCGATCGTACCAGACGACGGTTACGACTATGAATTAGTTCACCGTCATTTTCACGCAGAATCTCACTCACTGTTGACCTTCTGCCTCCCGTGGAGCGAAAAAGTTGGAAGAGTGCGGGTGGTTTCCTGATGAATCTGCCCGCTCCATCTCAACGACGCGCTGTGTCCACCAAACCTTGCGATCTTTCCTGAGGAGCTGTCTGAGCTCAGTACCTGTGGTTCTGCCTAGTACGTTGTACTTAACTCCGGCGGGAATTGTTCGACGACTTTCCATTAATTGGAGAGACTGCTGAGATCCAGTGACTAACAACTCGTCTAGTGAAGCCACAGACCAGGGTAGCGGACTTTTGTAAGGCCCTCTAGGTCTGTGCCTAGTGTATCTCAACACTGGAGGATAGAGAACGTAGGTTGAAAGCTAATGTGTTCTGAAATGCGCCGAGAACATTTGGGACGGCGAGCTTGTCTGTGTCAAACCGTTTCCGGTGACGCTGTTGGGCTCCTCCAAAGCGCAGAACGAACTTAGCACACACGAGTGCATGATCCGAAGTCAGGATTGGTTAAATACCAAACTTGCCCGTTGAAGCCATTAGAGGTAAGAAATATGGTAACAAATATAAACACGCCACTGCTTCCGCAACTGCAGTTATGTCAGTAAGACATTCAACCGCTGATTTGTCCGATCCCGAGCCCCCTATCCAGTAATATGACACACATGAGCCCCTGTTAGGCTTTCGGTCCAGCTATCACGTCGTCAACTACGCGTCTGTCTTACCTGAATATGTGTTACCTCGATGTTTAGCATATTCTAATCACAACCACACCCAAGCGGTCGCAAAACCTAAACTAACTGTTGTAATCCATTCGAGGTCGACGACCATTCCAGTGTGGCACAATAGGATCTGTTGCCAAGCACCAGTCAGCATGTATCCGTACTACTTATTCGATGCTTCTAGCGAGATAAGGGATGCTTTGCGGTATCGATGTTCAAACCGAGCAAGGTCACTAGTGCATTCATTGCGATTTTGCCTTATCTAGTTTTTCCAGCAATACCTATCTCCTTGCAGCGTTATACACCGTTCCTTTGGTCTACGCATCTGTTTAATCCCCGTCCCAATTATTAATTACAGTTTTGCAAGGCTGTAAAGAGCATCAGCGGTACGCTGGTATTCAGTACCGACGCTTCGCTGCCGCGCAACCACCACCGGTCGCACCTGGGCTAAGGATACTGCGAGGGTCACCCTGCTCCTTCGCAGGTTCGAACCCGCGCTGTCAGATTACAAGACAAGCTCGTTACCTTTAGACTACGGACCGGCTGCAAGACCATACGAGGCTTACCAATGCGTATTGCAGGCTCCGGCTACGCGACCGCCGGGGACGGGACTTCTTACAAGAATTACTAGTGCATCAGCCAACCCTTGTGACGATTATTTACACTTCAAGAATGCAACTCATACACCAAAGCGGTCAGCGCTATGCGTCTTCTTATTTAGCTTCACTTGCATAGTTGTCACATCCGGATCAAGGTAAGCCATGCCACTGGCATACTTTGGTTGATACTTAATCACTTAACAAAACTTCCGCCCCGATAGTCTTAGAAAGTGTAGCATGCTCTTTTCACTCACATTTGGGGAGAATTGGGGGCTAGGATAATTTTGAAACACTTCACGTGTGGTGAATGCTAGGCATAGCTTTCTGTGGCCTCTTACGCCACTCCGGGTTTCGTGGGTTTGCGTTTCTGGATTTGAACGGCTTTTACCGACACATTCTCTGACGGGTGACATCACCGCAATTAGATTCGACCAACTGCTGCCTACACAGTTTAACTCATATCTGGTGGGAACATCGCGTGAGCGCTAAGCTTGTTCGACGTCTCGTATTTGGTTAAGGAAGAGCGAGCGAATCACTGAGCACCATTATATCTAGCACCAGGCTCCGATGGCAAAGTCACGTGTTGCGCATGCCAACACGTGGACTCCTGCGACGTGTGTTGTTTGCGCGCCAAGGGTATGAATGGAAGAAGAGGAGTGGAGGTCGAAAAAAATGAAAACCCTCACTTCAAACTTGGCGTCATTTGATGCCTCCAAACTGCCGGGCTCGGGTCCGAAGGATGACAAACACGTTAGAGTAAATACAGTCGTTTACATGGCGAAGATCGACCTTAATGGTGTTCATGCTGTGAGTTTCCTTATTCCTCCTCCGCTTTATCTTCCCTCTTCAGCCACGATTCCACACTCCATGGATATAGTGGTTAACATTATGTATTTTTAGCTTGTGTTCGGTAATGCTTAGTATCTCGCATTTTCAGACATCTTATCTTGATATTGCGGCACAGTAGCTTGGTGTTTCTAATCCGCAGCTAGCGTGTTGATAAATTAACTAACTAACTGAATCGACGACAGGATTCAATTCAAGGTTGGTTAGCATGATAATCTGATTGTGCGTAAAGATGTCGCTATTTGCTGAGTTCAGTCAGGGACGTGCATTGCATTGTTATGGAGTGGACATTGCATTTTCTCGATTTTTTACATCAATCTGCCGTTTTCACTGGCTTTGGTTTGGTTTAAAATAGATCGTTATCTTCACTTGACATCGGACGTCGCAGTTCAAACGCACGGCTGCTTCTCTAGTCATGACTGTCGTATCTCTACTGCCCCGCACCACTGTAGTGCCTAGGCCAAAGTCCCGAAACTTGAGATTACAACGAAATTGGCCATTTGGTAGGATAACGGGACCAAGCAACATCAGAAATTCGTTGGTTACTCTTATTCTTGGTTTTCACATTGATGCATCGCAGCATCTAATTTATTACTTTAGAGAATCGACCTGCTGTTTTGTTTTACCGTCATCCTCGGGTTTTTTGTAAACAGGTTTCACTTTACTCCGTTTAACTGCCCATATATCCATCTCATAGTTCCATAAGGGCATCCTCTTTTACCGCTAGATTTCCGCTGATATCTTCTAATATATGTGCAGCGTCTTTGTAGTGACCTGGAGATTCCCCGTATGATTGTGTAAATTATTCCAAAATATCTTAAAGTTAGTTTTATGTATTGGGGAATTAAGCGGTTTGTCTGTCGGAATTTTGTTCCCGTTTATTTGAATCACAAATACGACATCCGCTTTTGAAGCACTTGACTAGGACCGTGAGGACGCCCGACCACGCATTCGATGCCCAACTACATCTTCCCTCTTCTCTGATGCCCTATTTTTAGCATTAGATAGCTCATCAACAAACCTAGCTTATTTTTGTGTGTTCTACCGATTACCTTTGGTTGGCTGTTCAGCATCGTACTAGATATATAGCGCACGAGCTATGTGCTATATCTTTAGTCTGTCCGTATTTCTTACTTTTATGTCAAACTTTTACCCCTTTATCTTTCAACACCATGTTGATTGATACTCTGTGGCACTTCTTAGTGCAATCGCCAGTTTATCTACTACCTATATGTATTTTCAGCTATTTCATAAAGGTATATTTATCACCCGGTTATTACGGTTGGACCGATGTGCATCTCTGCCTGGTTTGCCGTATTCCTCCAATTGTATTTCTCCCGATATTGTCCAAAATTTCACTCCCAAGAAGGCTCTTTTGCTCTCCAAGATGACCAAGCACGAATTCTTGCGCTCTCTCGAGCAGTGCGCAGATGAAGAACATCTGAATCTTGCTGTGAGTTTCTTTCTACTCAGGGACGTAACCAGCTGTAGCTGCTGCGCCGCGGCGTCGACGTTGATTTCCTCAGATATAGACACGATTTGCATTGTCGAAAATTGTCAGAAATTCAACGTACACTCAGGTGCGTTTCGATTCTCAGCAATCTAGCTACTTGGTCACGCCCTTTTTTACACTAGTGTCACTCCCTTGTAGTCTGTTTACAATTTGTGTGACGCCTTTTACTTTGTGACTTTTGGGTTCTGGAAGGTTGCTTATCTGTAGATAACGTGTACAATGAATATTGAGCTTTCCATCGCAGTGAGACTGGACCTTACCGTGTTGCGATGATTTGCGTGCCTCAGCGATCTGTTGAGCTGTGTTGAGCAGTGCTTCTCGCACTTTCAGTCACGTATACTAGATTGGTCCATGGTTAGCAACCTGAAGAAATCATCCTCGTACTCTAGGTTGGGGGTTGGAGTGAGGGTGGCTCCTTATTCCCTAAAACAGACTCACTGTAGTCCACTGTCAAAACCGCTGCTTTGCAGTCAGGTTTTTGGACCAAAGGCTTTCATTAAGAATCCCAATTACTCTCCTGTCAAGGTCTGAGCAACCTAACAGTATCCTGCCCACGCAATACAATGAACCTTTCTTTAAACAACTTTTTGATGCTCTGACGGCCGCGATGATAATAAACGGTGCCCTACCTGTTGCACCGAGCTGAATGGATCGGGGTTTGGATGCTACTGCTCAAGTCTTCCCGTCTTATTATCCCCTTTACGCTTTTTGCCCTTATCGTCCCGTTCCTACTTCCCTTTTATCCCCTCGATTTCGATTTCAAGATTCTTGGCCCTCCCCACCATGCTTAGTTTCAACTCATGCAGACACTAAGCATCACTTTTGCCTTTCGACAAACGCATGTCTAACCAGACGGCTAAGCCCATTTCATCTGTTTCTATTTGGAGCCCCCGACCCTCCCTCAGATGGGCATGCCTCAACCTACGCACATTAATACAGATCGGTCAACAAACATCACTTACCCGAACATTAGTGACTCTTTCGATCGATATCTGCCGCTTTGCGAAAACCCGTCTACAAGACCCGAGCTCTGTTCTCACTCTGCGATCCCATTCTGGTGATACTAGCAGTAATTTCCCATTGCACCTATCCAGATACGATGCAGTTTCGAGTACCGGCCAAGCCGACGTTGGTATTGCCCTGAGTCCCCGGACTGAAGCTGCTCTGGTTGATTGGATCCTTATCAATAGCCGGATGTGTGCGGTCCGACTGGCTGGCTCGTTCAAAGTTTTGAAGTCGCGTGGGGCTAATAGGTCTCTGTTTGTCATCGCTGCCTACGCCCCCACAAACTGTAGCGATGATTCCGTAAAAGACGACTTATATCGCCAACTGAACGAGCTCATTCGCCACAGAAGAAGCTCGGACACTTGTTAGGAATCTGAACGTTCAAATTTGGAAATTAGCCACTGATGAGCTGCATTTGATCAGCCAACTTGGTGTAGGCTCCCATAATAATAACGGTGAGCACTTACTTCATTTGTCTGAAGATGCTCGCTTATTTCTTGTGAACACTAATTTCCGACACGGCACCCGTCGGAAAGTGACATGGCGCCCACCAGCCATGGACGCAAATCGATCACATCACGATCAAGTAACAATGGAGAGGCGGTGTCCAAAGCTGGCGTTCGATTTGGAGCACATGTGTGGACACTGACAATGTACTCGTATGTGCTGGTCTGCGCGTGCGTTTTGGCGATCGCCCTCGACGACCCTGTGAGCGCACAGACACCAGACAACTGGCAAAGCCAGGTGTTCTGAATGTGTCTCAAAGCCCGCTGGCGTTCTGGTTGAGCAAGCGCTCACTGAATACATTTGAAAGTCACTGTTCACTACACCTTACTAAAAGGAGGTAAATCCTCGTGTGCTAAGTCTAATAGCCAACCTGGGCATTGGGTCTCTTCGCGGTCTATGGAACTTCTGAATGCTCGCCGGCACATTCCGGCTCGAAGTGGACATGTTGATACTCGCAAAGACCCCAGGGCAAAACTACGTGATAGCCTGAAAAGAAACCGCGAATCCTCTTGGTCTTGTCTTGCCTCAGAGACTGAAGTAGCCGCTGTTTTTGGTAACCATCGGAAGTTATTCCGTGTGATACGGGAAACGAGCAGCAGGAGATCTGGTGTTAGTGAAACTATTTATGACGAGAGTAAACAGTCCATCCATAACTTGTCAAGACGCTTGGAGCGTTCGACTGAGCATTTTGAAAATCAGTTTAATCCACTGGAATTTTTAGATTCCTCACTGACCAGTGATCGCTCTGCTCCCTAGGCTGTCCCTTTGGAACCGCCCTCTTGCTCAGTAGTCGAACGTTAGATCGCACAGGACTAGATGCTCTTCATCTAGCTCTCTTCACATTCGACGGCCCTACTCTTGTTGATGATTTACACTAGTTACTAGTAAAAATATAAGAGCATGAAACTGTCCCGACCGACTCGAGGCGTTCCGTTATTGTCCCGATCTTCAAGGGATACTCCCTTTCGGAATGCGGCAACCATAGAGGAATCAGTCTGATTCCCATCGCCTCCAAATTACTTATCTCCGTATTCCTTCACAGACTGACTAGCATTCGTGAAAGCCAGATTCGTGAGGCACAAGCCGGGTTTCCTCGTGGTCGGGGATGCATCGACTACATATTCACATTATGTCAATTGTTGGAGCACCGTCACCTACATTGGCGACCCACCGTTGTCGTGTGCCTCGACATCAAAGGTGGCTTCGATTCGGTTGATCGATATGCTATTTGTGACTGCTAAGGAAAGGTGTGCCCGAGAAGTATGTAAATCTTATGTGAGCGCTTTACGCGCGTAGCTCAGGCAGAGTGAGGGCTTACTCCAAGCTGTCGCCGCCCTTCAATATCTCCAGCGGTGTGAGACAAGGATGCCCGCTGTCCATTTTCTTCTTCAACTTCGCTATTGATGAAGTCATGGATATCGCGTCCATAGGGCACGATTTAGAAAGTGTGGAGCTGCTTCCAGGTGACTTGGAGTATGCTGACGATATTGCCCTCTTCTATGACAGCTCACAAAGGTGCCAAGCTGCACTGCACAGAGTAGCACTGGCTGTCAACCGTTTCGGGCTACGCTTTGCACCCTACAAGTGCAAAGTCCTCCAAGATTAGCGAGGATCACCTGCGCTGACTCTTGATGGTGATCGGCTAAAAGTCGTACAAAAGTTCAATTACCCAGGTCATTGTATCAGCGCCGTTGGAATTGAAGAATAGGTCACAAACCATTTAGCAAAAGCACAACGCGCTTTTGCTAACCTGTGAACATTGAGCCTGTCCGACGCCTTGTTTAGGTCGCATGAAGAGGAAGCGAACCGCCCAGCATTGTTATTTCACGCACCAGGATCCGATGGCTGGGCCACGTGTTGCACATGCCAGCCCACCGACTCCCGCGATGGGCGTTGTTTGCGCGTCGGAGGTGCAGATGGAAGAAGTGGAGGGGTGGCCAAGTGCCGACTTGGTCAAGAGGAATGAAGGTCCTTACTTCGAAGTTGACCTCGGTTGGAGTCTCTCGGCTCCCTGGTTGGGGACCGAAGGACGATGAACACGTTTGGCTGGATACACTTGTTGACATGGCTAGGAACCGACCTCAATGGCGTTCATGTTGTGAGTTTCTTTTCCCTCCTCCTCCCGCATAGCCTCCCCTTCCAATCACGATCTCATTTATTATGCGTAATATAACTTTGCGGCACAGTAGCCGTCTGTTGCCTCTCCAGAACGATGTCCATCCGTTACCGGTGCCTCAGCCGGCGTGTCCCTGTTGCACGTTTCTTTTCTTTTGCATTGCGGCACAATAGCTGAGGTGCTTTCCACCTTCAGCGAACGGGTATAATGATACAGAGCTTTTGTATATCCACCTACGATTGTGAAGCACCTTATGATATCTGCTCTGCTTACCGCTGATACTATCATTATCAAAGTTAGACCTGGCGTCACAGATCGCGGATTCAGATGTCAATTCCATGCTAACCCCGAACAATCTGGATTAGTTAGGGAACCAATTGCAATTGTTATAACGCTTGCTTTCTCTCTGCTCTCCGCCACTGACAACTGGTTTACTGCTGCTTTGCTGCCCTGTGTAACTGCGACTGTCTGACTGCTCAGTCACGCGCTCAGACAGCCGAGGGAATACAAAAGGCCAGAACTCAGTAGACAGAGAGTATCTACAGAATAGGTTGTCTCTGTTTATTGGTAAACAAAACGTGCTAATTTAGGAGGTCAAGGTCACTTACTCTTCTGCGTTTGGTTTTCGGCTAGTATGAGTGAATTCCGCTCCACGGGTTTATCATATTGACGGAATAGTTGATTCCTTTGAAGCGGGCTGGTAATTGCTAGCCGATCAACTCTCACTCGATCCCCAAATTCAGCGAGAAGGTCGAAGCTCGTAGCACGCCTGTGCTGATGACCTTTACATGTAGTGGACAGCCTGTGTTCCGCTTACACCTCTATTATATCTCCTTTTGAATTGAGTATGCCAGCGTACCGTTCGAACTCGACTTTGTTCATAGGTTTTCGCTTTGGGATCAACTTGCAGCCATGGTGGTCGTCTCCGCTTTCGGGTCGGCCTGCATTGTGCGTCATCTGCTGCTTGCATCTTATGTTGTGATCCACGTAGCCGCTCAGCTTCGTCTTCCAAACAAAACGTGTCTAGCAGGATGTCCCATGGTAGGGATAGCGGTTCTGGGGGACTTTGAGTCTTGCCGTGTTTCGGCCTCAGCTGATTGTCGTGCCTGACCCATTTCTCATTTCTTACTATTAGCTCGTAAATGACTTGACCCTTTCGGCGGATCACTCTTCCTGTCGACCACCTCCTCCCTCGGAATTCTCGCGCGTACACCATTTCACCAATTTTGAAATGACGGACCCTGTCTGTCCGATTTCACTCCACATGACTACTACGGTGCTTTTCCTTCCTGTTTGACACAAGATGGTTTGCTCCGGATACTGGTTTAGTGACTGGTTTGAGGTTCAGGGCAGCACTGGTCATTCTGCAGCATTCCGGACCATGTTGGGGCACTGCTGCATGGCGTCCTTTCATCTGCATAATCTGACTTTGAATTACC